CCTAAATTGGGAAATGAGTCTTTTCATGTTGACTGAGACCCACGTGGGCCACGAGGTGGGCATCACCAAACCTACAACTGAGCGGGAGAGTACGGAGGTGGAGGTGGAGGAGGGGGTCCAGGGAAAGGGATGCTGGGGGTTCAAGGTCAAGGTCAAGATGTCTGAGGTCATCTCGGTAGAACGAAGCTGGGCCTTTGGAGGATAAGACAGCAAGCAGTGGACGTGAACAGGGCCCGGGAGCTGGGTCCAAGACCAGCGAGGGCTGTGGTCTCTAGTTACTGTCCGTCCAAGCGGGAATCAAAATGCCCTGGCTGGCTGGCTGGCCTGGGGTCTTACCAGATGTCCTGAGTTTTCTTCAAGCTCTGTAGTGGATAGATAATTCCATCTTAGCCCGTTTGTACCAGAGTTTTTAATCTACACCCAAGCACCGTGACAGAAATGGGTCTTTATGGGTTGTTTATTGTTTTATTCGCCCATTCGTTTATTCACACATTCTTTAAGCACTGATTAAGTGCAGACTCTGTTCTAGAAGTAAGCAAAGTTCCTGCTCTTGTGGAGTTCGCACACTAGTGAAGAGGCACACAGTAAGTACATAAATATGATTTTAAGTAGTGTTAAGTGTGGTGAAGAATGTAAAATAAGGTAATAGGACTGGGCGCAGTGGCTCACGCCTATAATCCCAGCACTTTGGGAGGCCAAGGTGGGAAGATCACTCGAGGCCAGGAGTTTGAGACCAGCCTGGGCAACATAACAAGACCCCATCTCCACAAAAAAATAAATAAAAATTAGCTGGGTGTGGTGGTACACGTCTGTAGTACCAGCTACTCGGGAGGCAGCGCCAAGAGGATTGTGTGAGCCCAGGAGCTCGAGGCTGCAGTGAGGTATGATGGTGCCACTTCACTCCAGCTTGGGTGATGGAATGAGACCCTGTCTCTTAAAAAAAAAAAGGTTTAAAGGTAATAGGATAGTCACAGGGGTGGCAGGTGATATACAGTAAGTAGCCAGAGGCTTCTCTGAGAAGGTGGTGTCTGAGCTGAGACCTGAATGCCAAGCTGGAGCCAGCCCCATGAAAAGCATTCCAGGGAGCGAGAACAGCAGGTGCAAAGGCCCTGGGGCAGGCATAAGCTGGGTGTGTTGAAGGATGGAGAGAAAAACAGCACAGCTACTGCCTAGAGAGTGGGGAGCAGGGAAGCAGAAGCTGTGGAGGGAAGTAGGGGATCACGCAGGACTCCGGGCGCACGGTCAGGGGCCTGGATTTTATGACTGATGCATGTAACAACATGGATGAATCCCGAAACAATTATGCCAAGAAGCAAGACAAAATAAGAGCACCTAGTGTATGATTCTGTTTATGTAAAAGTCCGGAAACTGCAATCTATAGTGACAGAAAGCAAATCAGTGGTGGTCTGGTGCCAGGGGTGGTGGGTATGTTCACCACCGTGATTGTGGCTGTGGTTTCACGGGTGAGCACAGATGTTAAAACTGAGCAGCCCGTGCACCCTAACTACAGGCAACACATCACAGCCCCGACACGACGGGGTGTGGAGGGCACTGCACCTCACAGGGGCGCGGTCCTCCCCCACATCCATAACCCCGTCTAATCGTGAGAAAACATCAGACAAACCCAAATTCAGGGGCATTCTACAAATACTGGAACAAGCGCTCTGTGAAACTGTCAAGGTCATGAGAAACAAGGAAAGACTGAGAAACTGTCACAGACCCGAGGAGGCTGGGGAGACGGGACAACTCAATGCAGTGTGACATCCTGGATTGGATCCTGGAGCAGAAAAAGAACATCCATGGGAAAACTGGCGAAATCCAAACAAACCCTGGAGTTCAGTTAATAGAAATGTATCAGTTTCTTAGATTTGACAACTGCACCGTGACAAATGCTCATCCAAGACGTTAACCTTCGAGAAACTGGGTGAAGGGCACAAGGGGCCCTGTGCTGTCTTTGCAACTTTTCTATAAATCTGAAACTCTTGCAAAATAAAAAGTTCATTTAAGAAAAGCATTTCCTCTTGATTAAAAGAAGAAACATATCCACTACAGAAAGTTTGTAAAGTACACAAATGAGAACCCTGCAGTGGCTTGCCATCCGCTCTGTTACATGTTTTGGGGTATCCGATATAACCCTGTTTCCTGGGCACTTGTGACCTAACTGAGAACAGTGATAATACCAATTTTGTGCCCTCTGCTATTAGCCTTATAAGCGTCTTCCTTCGGCTTTCAAGCATTTGGCGAGCATCATTTTCATAGCTACTCAATTTTCCATGACTTGGCTGTGTTGTAATTCACACAGCCGCTCCCTTCACTACTGGATGTAACTTCCAGTGGTTTCCCAAGATTAAAAAAAAACAAACCCAACAACTCGGTAACCAATGCATCTGGGTCTGCATTTGGGATTGTTTTCTAATGATAGAGCCTTAAGAAAGACACCTGCAACTTGAAGGGTGTGGATATTTTTAAGGCTCTTGATGCCTATTGTCCATTTGCTTTCCAGAAGCGCGCACCCACGGGTGTCCCAGGCAACGGTGTGTTTAGGATGCCCCTTCTTTATTCTTCATCCGACGTGCCCTGCCAGGTGCTGGGCACTGTTGAACATCCCCACTCTTGCAACTCTTCCTGCGATCTCCTCGAAATTGCCCCTTCCGGGTTCCGCTCGTCCCTGTCTGTGCTGTCTCTGCTCCTCCCCTGGTCCTCTGCCCACCCCAACAGCACCTCGCTGATCAAACTCCTCACTCTTCGAGACCTTCCTGCGCCAGCTCGCTCCTTGCCGAGGCTCCCGATAGCGCCTGTGTCCCTGGGCACAGCTCCTTAGCCTCTCTAAGATCCATGACACCTTTTCGCTTGCCTTTCAAGTCCCAGGATGTCCCTTGGGTGGCTCAAGCTCCAAGCATGAAGGGGAAGCTGTCCACTTCTCTGTCTCCCCCTGCAGCCCCCACTCCACTCCTCAGGGCGAGAGCATCCCCGAGCACCGATGCCCGAGCCTGGCCTCTCGCCCCGTCCTGGCCTCCCACTCACCACTTACGACCCACATGCCAAGGGTTTTGGCTTCAGCCTCATGAATGTCCCTTGCACACCTGTGCGAATCCAGGACCTCTGAATCTCATGCCTGAAAATTCTATCAATAACAGCCTGGTCTCCCTCCCTCCCCTCCTCACGGAGGGATTATTTCTAGAACACTAACCTGGGCACCTCACATCCCCACTTTAATGATCCTTCGGGCTCCCTGCTGCCTGCAGGTGTGACTCCTTAGGCACGTGCATTCAAGGCTCTGAGTAGCACTGAAGCAGGTTCGCAAGGAATCAGACTCTTCTATTCTCCTTCAATCAATCTCACCTCAAGGACAGAGTCTCCTTTAGGTGCTAAGTCGTCTCTAACACCTAAGACTTGCTGCTCTGCCTTCAAACAAAAGGAGAGAAGGCCCCAGATCTAAGGTCTTGGGAAGACAATGTTATCCAACCAGATGCCATTAGCAATATTTTGTTTTCAACATTGGGCCAAGCAGGTTTCATATTTGCAGTGATGCTATATAATTTGTCTCTCTCTTTTTTTTTTTCTGAGACAGAGTCTCACTCTCTTGCCTGGGCTAGAGTGCCGTGGCATCAGCCTAGCTCACAGCAACCTCAAACTCCTGGGCTCAAGCGATCCTCCTGCCTCAGCCTCCCAGGTAGCTGGGACTACAGGCACGTGCCACCATGCCCGGCTAATTTTTTCTATTTTTAGTTGTTTGGCCAATTTTTTTTTTCTATTTTTAGTAGAGACGAGGTCTCGCTCTTGCTCAGGCTAGTCTCGAACTCCTGAGCTCAAAGGATCCGCCCGCCTCGGCCTCCCAGAGTGCTAGCATCATAGGCGTGAGCCACCACGCCTGGCCTCATAATTTGTCTTTAAAATAAATTTTTTAAGTGTGACAATCTAAAAGATTGAATAAATAGCATAGGTGGTACTTGGCTAAAAATCGTAGAGGTGTTATTTGAATTCTTTTTTTTTTTTTTATTGAGACACAGTCTCACTCTGTTGCCCCAGGTAGAGTGCAGTGGCATCATTATAGCTCACAGCAACCTCAAACTCCAGGGCTCAAGCAATCCTCCTGCCCCAGCCTCCTGAGTAACTGCGACTACAGGTGTTTGCCATCATGCCCGGCTAATTTTTCCATCTTTTGTAGAAATGGGGTCTCCCTGTTGCTCAGGCTGGTCTTGAACTCCTGGCCTCAAGCAATCCTCCTGCCTCGGCCTCCCAGAGTGCTAGGATTACAGGCATGAGCCACAAGGCCTGGCCCTGTTTTCGTTTCTGTTGGGTATATAACTAGGAGTGGAATTGCTGGGCCACAGGGTAGTTTTATGTTTAACTTTTTGAGGCAATGTCACTGTTTGATGGTGCTTTCCCTTAACCCTCACTGGCCTCCTCCTGCTCCGCACACTTAATTGTCTTGGCCTCCTTTTTCTCCCCTAGCAAGGTCTAAAACTCTCCACCTATCAAAGCTGGGAGGCACACCGTGAACCTCTGCCTCCAAATCCTACTTTTTTGCACTGCCCCACGCTGCTGACAATCACCTGCTCCTTTCACTGACCTCATTTCATACATGAGACACCCAAGTTAGAAGTTTACCAGGGCCACACAGCTCCTGAGGGACAGAGCTGAGCTCCGGTGCCCAATCCTGGGACACCACGGTCTACACTGTGCTTCTAAATGGACAAACAGGTTAAAAGAGAGAGAGTGTGTGTGTGACATGCAGCCACTTCCATTCCTGGGGGTGCTGATGACCTCCCAACACTCCATCCCCGCGGGGTCACAGCCTGCCTCTTCCCAGGGCCTGCCACGAAGCCAGTTCCGCGGCAAGGAATGAACTCTGGGGTCTTTGGTTTGGGCACATTTATTTTGGCTCTAAACATATACCTTTTTCACGATGGGAGGAAAGGGAGAATACGACACTTTCCTTTATTTTGTCTTTTGGCCTTTCCAGATTCCATGCCACGTAAGAAACCCCCACGGGGCAGGGCGCCGAGGGCGGGCGGCGGCCGCTCAGGTGTAGCCCGCCAGGCGCGGGGTGCAGGGGAAGGTCTTGCGCATGCCCATGCACTTCTCCTTGTCGATGCACAGCGTGTTGGCCTTGATGGCCAGCTCGTGCTCCAGCCGGGACTTGGTCATCACCAGCAGCTGCAGCGTGTCCTGCGTCTCCCGCAGCCTCATCTTGAGGGTCTGCAGGGTGTCGTCGATGGTGAACACCTCGTTCACGAGCCTGGGGCGGGGGCAGACGAGAAGGCACAGGTTATCCAGCCGTTCGACACACACGCACCCACCGCGCCCCGGAAACTGCGCGGGTGCTGGGAGACCCTGGCGAGCAAGACACACAAGGCTGAGCCGGCAGGGGGACATCGACAGGACAGTGACACAGAGGACAGGAAGACGCTCTGACAGTTCCTCAGTGAGTTAGACCAACGAGCTGGCCACGTGAAGACCGAGAGGGAATGTATTCCAGAAATTTCTGCGATGACGGAAATGGTCTCGATCTGCACCGTTCGGTGCGGTCCCTGCTGGCCGCGTGGGGCTAACGAGCACTTGACATGTAGCTGCACAACTGAGAAACTGAATTTTTAATTGAATTAAATTAGTTTACAATTTAATTTAGTTTTAGATAATTTAAGTGCAATAGCCACATGTGGCTACTGAATTGGACGGTGAGTGCCTTTCTGAAGAGACAACCGCATGCAAATTAAGGGGCTTGGATCCTGTCCTCAGTGCCACGGGCCGCTGGTGGGGGGGGAGGAGGCTGAAACAGGGGAATGACCCCTGATTCGAGCTCTGGGACAACCTGCAGGCTGCGGTGTGAGATTAGATTGGAAGGCGGCAGGAGCAGAGGAGGGGGAGAGGTTAGGAGGCTGTTGCGATATCCAGGTATAGCGGTTGGGTGCTGTTCCCTAAAAAGATATGCCCAAGTCCAAACCCCGGCGCCTGTGGATGCGGCGTTGTTTGGAAATACGGCGTTTGCAGGTGTAATTAAGACTCTCAAGATGAGATCATCCTGGATGCAGGCCCTAAATCCCACGGCTGATCTGCACATACGAGAGAGGGGAGGGAGATCTGAGACACACAGTCGCACCGGGCAGGAGCCGTGTGCAGACGGCGGCCGAGATCGGAGTGATGCAGCTACAAGCCAAGAAACACCCAGGATCGCTGGCAGCCCCCACATGCTGGGAAAGAGGCCTGGAACTGAGTCTCTCTCAGAGCCTGCAGGACGAGCGACCTTGGTGACACTTTGACTTCGGGCTTCTGGTCTCCAGGGCTGTGAGAGAATAAATTTCTGTTGTTTGAAGCCACCCGCGTTGCAGTCATTTGTCGCAGAGCCACCCCAGGAAATGAACACAGCAGGTGAGCTGTGACGGTGGCTTGGTTGTGGGGCTGTGCTGTGCGTCCCACCTCTGGGGAGCAGGGACAGCGACCTGTGCTCAGGACTGGGGGAAATGAAGCTGGGAGGACTTGAGTTAGACTCAAGAGTGAACTTCCCACATAGCCTGGGAGAGAGACAAACAAAGAGAAGCTACAGAAGCAGCCCAGAAACGTCCACCAGCGCCGTCCAACAGAACTTTCGACAGCCATGCAGATGTCCGTTCTGTGCTGTCTGATACGGTAGCCCCTAGCCACGTGTGGCCACTGAGCACTTGATGTGGTTAGTTTTAATTAATTTAAATTCACATGTCAATGGACTTTCATTCTGGGGATGGGCAGAGATGGGACCTCAGTGATTAGAGGTCAGGAGAAGAGTGGCCACCTGTAGGAGGAAGAAGAAAAAGATGGCCCAAAGGTGGGAACGGAGGGGATGGGGCAGGAAGACACTGCACAGACGGGACAATTTAGCCACTGGAGAAGGGAGACAGCCTGAGTCCTGTTATCTGCTCGTTCCCGACACATCCGAGCACAAACACCCCAAAACACAGCACGCACACAGACACGCACAGACACACACGCACTGCCCGAGGCTCCTGAGCCATGCTTGCTCTGTCCCTCTGCTCTCTGTCTGTCCCCTCAGTGGGATGACTGTTGGAGGGGAAGGCAGGGAGCTTGTCCCACAGTAGTAGGTCCTCCAGGACAACACCTGGTGACGCTCCCCAAAGTCCTGTTCTGTAGACGCCCCCTGGGGTGTAAACAAATGGGTCACCCAAGCCCTCTGCCCCAGGAGGTGCCGGAGCCCAACCTGAGCATCCAAGGGAAAGGGGTGGGGAAGGAGGTAGCAGGAGAGCCCAGCCCCCACGCCCGGCGCCCAGGATGGGCCCCTTGCGGCCCAGCCGCCCATGTCCGGGGACGAAGACCTCCCAAGCCAACAGCAGGCTGAGGAGCAGGTAGCCAGGCCCTCAAGCTCAAAGCCGGCTCCCTTCACCTGCCTCCCAGCCCTGCCCCAACACACATCCTGCTTTTCCACTTCCTAAATGATTGTCTTAGGCAGTGACTCAGGCTGTGCGAATATCGTCTTTCGGGAACCACCTAGCATTTTCTCTTAGATGTCTACCCTCCTCCTCTCAACACACAGCTCTCTTCTCAGCATCTCTCTGCATCTACTCGTGGGGTCTCCACTCAGGATGGAGGGAGTGGGGTCCATCCCTGGACCAAGACCTGCACTCCCTGCCCAGTGAAGCCCTGGCTTGGTGCTGTGTGACTCGGACAGCTCCCTCAACCTCTCTGGCCCTCAATTTCTCTTCCCATTCAACAATAATAGGGGTAACTGACTCTCCAACTCCACTTTAGTAGGACTAAAGGGGAGGGAACTCAAAAGCAGCTTAAGGGATTACAGCTAGACATCAGGGTGAACTTCCCTTGCTGTGGGCCAGGGCTGAAACAAAAGTGCCCAAGGAAGCCCAAGGATGGTCTTTTCCATCTTTTCAGTGGGGGTGGAGGGTATCAAATCAGTATCTTGTTGGAAGAGAAGTACTGCTGGTGAGCCAAGTACACACAGCGCTTGGCATAATCAATGTATAATAAGGTTTATAAAGCGAATGAGCCGCTGAGATGGGGGCGGGACCCGGGCCCTTGCCACTCTACCAGCGTGCTTGTGGGTGCCCGTGGGAAGAAGTGTCAGGATGGCGCTCCTTGAGTGTGGGCTGGACCTAGTGATTTGCTTCTAAAAAGAACACATGGGAAAAGTGATGAGCTGTCACTCCCACGATTAGGTTACAAGAGACGGTGACGTCCTTCCTCTCGGTGCTGTCTTGTCCTTCTGGCCTGCGTGCTCTGTTGAAGGAAGCTGCAGGCTGGAGAGACCCACGTGGCAAGGAACTGAGGGTGGCCACCGACCAGTAGCCAGCGAGGAACTGAGTTCCGCCAACAGCAACGTGAGTGAGCTCAAAGGTGGGTCCTGCCCCAGTCTAGCCTTGAGATGAGACCACAGCCCTGGCCGACACCTTGACTGCAACCTGTGACAGCCCCTGAGACACAGAACCCAGCAAGGAATCGACCCAATTCCCAACCCGGAGAAACTGAGATAACAGATGTGGTTTGTTCCAGCTGCTACATTCTGGGGTCATTTGTTACAGTGTCCCTAGCATGGAGGGAACAGAGTGGCCGAGTGATCTGCCCCAGGTCACACAGCATGTTCATGGGGAAATGATCCCCGTGTCTGATGACCTGCTGCTGCTTTGCCTGGCATCATCCCACTCCAACCCCCTACCCCACAGCCACGAAGCCCCGCTCCGGGCCAGCGTGTACTTTTCACTCCCTCTCTGGTGAGAGCCCTTTGTCAACAGATGCAGCCTCCTGAGCTCAGCAGGACACATGGGATCCACCCCGTGTGGCACTGGTTAGGCCATCCCGAGGGCTCACGGGCAAGAAAGTTGCCAGGAGGGCGGCAGGAACATGAGTGAGACATGAGTCGCACAGGAGCCTGGAGACACAGAAAGTGAAGCCACGTGCCCTGGCTGCCGAGGGAAGCAGGAGCGTTTCCAGAGCACAGTGGAGCTACAGAACCGTCCCCCGTTTAGGCAGGTGAGAAGATGCGTGCACAGGGTGGGCCTCCCGGTGACAGGGAGGCTGTGCAGGGGGACAGCCCAGGCTGGACCTCAGGACCCCCCACCCACCGATGCTACACTCTGGTGAGCTGTGGAACTAGATGTCCTGAGCGAGACCCCCCTCCCCCTCCCGGATGCCCCTGGTTCCCCGGCACTCACTTGGACTGTGGGATGTCCCTGCACAGCTCCACGTTGGGGCGCTGGGTCCGGCACTCCAGCCTGGTCTGTGCCACCTTCAGCGGGCACTCTTTGGCCATGATGGCCCTTTCGAGCAGCATGATGGTGTTCTCCGCCTGGAAGATCTCCTGCAGTGTCTGCGGGGACACACGGGGTGTCACCACCCACCAGCCCTCCTGGCCTCCTCCCGCTTGGGGCGTGCAGGGAGTGGAGGTCAACTAGGTCAGCCTCCGTCAGGTGCGTAAGCTGCTCCTTCCCCAGCCTCGAACACCTGTAGGCAGGGACCTCACTATTCCTACGAGACCCTGAGGAGCAGCTTCGGGCACCTCTGGTCACCGTGGCACTGTGAACACTGGGGACAGGCAAGGATCGAGGCCGGATCTCCAATATCCGCTGGAGTTAGCCAGTCAGCGTTCAGTGGGAAGCAGGCAAAGAAGGAAGGGAGGGAGGGAGGGAGGTAGGCAGGTATTTAAGCTTAACACAGATAATTCAAAACAATAGCCAATCTCTAAAGCCATTTTCCCCTAAATTAATCTGGGTTGTTCTCTATCTCTCTCCAGTCCAGGGCTTGCCTTCCTAGTAACTGGGTCAGTAAATAAGGAAGGAAGGAAAGAGGGAGGGAAGGAGGAAGAAATACGAAATTTTCTATTTATCTTTTTTTTTTTTTTTGGGAACAGAGTGTCACTCTGTGGCCCAGGCTAGGGTGCCATGGCATCAGCCTAGCTCACAGCAACCTCGAGTTCCTGGACTCAAGCGATCCTCCTGCCTCAGCCTCCCAAGCAGCTGGGACTGCAGGCAAACGCCACCACACCTGGCTAATTTTTTCTATTTTTAGTAGAGACAGGGGTCTCGCTCTTGCTCAGGCTGGTCTCAAACTCCTGACTTCAAGGAATCCTCCCGCCTCGGCCTCCCAGAGTGCTAGGATTACAGGCATGAGCCAC